GCACCATAGTTCTTGAAGATGTTGCATTCTTTGACAGTCTTAACATTAACTTTTGCTTGAGGAGCAAGCCCATCTTATCACTTTCCCATCAAAATACTCATGCTTGCTGTTAACACGCATCCTACCATTGAGCTGACAAAGCAATTGTTCCCCCACAAGTCCTCATCTGTTAATGATGTTTGATGTTTGACCTGCTACCACACTCATAGTTCTTGAAGATGTTGCATTCTTTGACAGTCTTAACATTAACTTTTGCTTGAGGAGCAAGCCCATCTTATCACTTTCCCATCAAAATACTCATGCTTGCTGTTAACACGCATCCTACCATTGAGCTGACAAAGCAATTGTTCCCCCACAAGTCCTCATCTGTTAATGATGTTTGATGTTTGACCTGCTACCACACTTAGCACTTACTACCCATGACCAATATTGAAAAGTCACCTTACCTTAGCTCCAATTTGGTTCCCACACTGGCCAATCTGAAGGTGCACAATTTCACGCATTTTGTGTAGCTTAGACCTGTTGGTGGCTACAACCTAACGCAGGTTTTCTGGCTGCAGTCCCCAGAACAAGCCCTCTTTCTGCTGCTGTATCAGCTACACCCAGTGCAGTCCGCCCCAAGGGGCCTTTTTATACTGGTGGGACTGTCAGCCAGCCAGCAAGGGGAGTAGCCAGCTCCCCAGGCAGCTCATCAGAGCATTTCACAAGGAGGCAAAGTGCCTGTTGGCTGCCTGTGTACAAGAGCACAGGTACATTACTGTGTGGCTTGGAAAAGGAAATTGTCACACCCACCCCCTTACAATTAATTCCAGTTCTCTTTGCAGCAAACTGTGATTAATTAACATTTGTTCACACTGTATTTGTGTTTCATTATTTATAGATACTATATATACACTTATATATGTATATATAGAGATTATAGCAAAAAATGAGCAATATCTTAACTTATCAAGTACCTGTGCTTCTGATACCTAATTTAAATTTTATCATATGAGTCATACGACAACATCCATAATTAAACCAGTAACAACTTTTGAGCAGTAGCTTCCTGTAACCACAACATTCAGCGCACTGCCAGGCAAACTTGCAGTTCACTAATAAGCATCGTTCTCCGTGTCTAACTGCATGAAGGAGGGGCACAGGATCAATAACAAAAAACCTGCTTTGTAAAACATAAATGTAACACTGCACTCTCAGTGAGATATGTTCCTTAAACATTTAATAAGAATCCATCAATTTCAGCCAATGTAAAATCTGAATCAACTTGTGACTAGCTTGCACAGACGCTCATACTCTTTCTTTCTTTCTCTCTTCTTTTCCTACCATTAAGAATTACAGTATTTCTTATATTTCTCATTTTCTTACATCCGGGATGTAGTATTTCAGAACTTGCCAAGAAAATGCAAGAGGTGAAAACCCAGTTCCACTGAAGTTAGCTATAATGTTCACTCTCTGAAACGTTTCACTGCATTAAAGGAAACGATGCAAGGCTGAGCAAAACATGCCAGTCATGTTGTCTACTGATAACAGGACTAGTATCATTGTGCAACAGAAACCCAGAATGGACTGTTTTCTGGAAGCTTACAGTAGTTTTACTACGTCAGATGACTGTCAGTGCTTTGCCAGCGTTCCTTTTAAGGATAGGAAAAGCAACTATAATTAGGAAAGCACCTTAAATTATGTTGTATAAAAAGATGACAGTGGAAGCACTTGACTCATTGAAAGTAGTAACTTTACCACTTTATGGGTTGCTAAAGATATCTCTGAGCTTCCATATTGTTCCAAAAGACAAATCAGCTTATTCCAGACTTCCCCACCACAGATGACTTCCACTTCTTCCACCAGCCAATGGAGGAACAGACAACTGCTCACAAGACAAAGCTTAGCACCAGAATTGCATTGCAAAAAAGTGGCTCGCAAACATTCTGACATCCTCTGCCAAGCTATGAGCCGCCCTCAGTAAGGAGCAATAAAAGCAAGGCTTGAAGTTCAGGTGGATTAATTTTGTTTCCTTGAAACACAACAGTTGTATTGTTTTCCAAAAAATAAATATTCTCTAAATAGTTTAGTGTGCTGAGCAAGACAACGTAACAGTTATGTTCCACTGCCACACTGTACATGTTTTCGACTATGGCAGTGGCTATCGCCTACAATTTTCTATGACAAAGTTCTGCAAAGGTTATTTGGGCATTTACTTTGACAGCAAATTTCATTTTATTCATGCACATTTCATACATGTTTTCCCCAACTACACTAAAAGTAATGGTGCAAGTCTGAGCTGCACATTCAATTGCTGCATTCTGAATGGGAGCTGCACTGACAAACTGTGTCAGAGCCACTGACACTAAGACTACTTAAAGTATGCAAAGTGTTAATCTACAATGGCCACAACCTATGAAGAGGCTGAAGATGCTAATTCACTGCCCAGAAAATCTGGCAAAATAGTTTCAGCAATACATAGACTCACTGAGAGCATCTCACACGCAAAAAAAAAATAAAAAGGGAAGTGAAAGAAATATGCAATCACTTGACAGTGATTTCTCTCTTGCTAAAAATAGTTCCCTGGAATCATGTGCCTGGTCTGAAACACTTCCTTATAGAACCTTAGAAATTACGGCACATGACACAAAGTACCTGAGGTGCTTCATGGACCAGAGGTGGGTTTGTACCTCTTTTCCCTTTCCTCCCAGCTGCATTTCTGTGAACCTCCAAGTCTGTCTATACCAAACCTGGCACACAGAAAGCCTGTTTCTCCCTAACTTTTGTTCACAGGCTGGTCATTGCTCAGCTCTGAGAACCTCAGGCCTGCTAACCGCCTGAGCGCACTTCCCAGGCACAGCCACTGAACATGTGCTTTTGCAGATTAGGGGTGTGAGCAGCATCACCAGAGAAAGAGGAGACGCTGCGGAAGGGTTGGCTTCCAGGGGCTTTGGGCACTCCGCGTGGCACTGGGCACGGCTATTACCAGCCTGTCCCGCAGTGTCTATTATCAGGCGGCCCACTGCTTCCACTGCCTTCAGAGTTGGCCCTAGATACCAAAGCCCTGGTGATGGGCATAAGATAAGACCACAAACAAGCCAGGTTTTTTTTTGTTATTGGGGTTTTTTGTTAATTTCTGATTTTCTTGGTAGTTTTGTGGGTTTTCTGTGCCATCACAGTACCCACTAGCAACAAATACGTATGTGCAGGGAGGCATTCTGAGGTACCTTTATTTTTTTTCATACGGTTTTCTTGGGAGGAACTAGCTTTTCACAGTAGCAGAGGAGATTGTTGAGAAGAAAGCCTATTCAATTTAAGATAAGCCTGGCTACAGGCCACCACATAATTTTAGAAAGCTCTGTGAATGGCTACCAGATGAGCTGATGCTAGCCTCAACTAATCTGGGCTAGTTCATCCTTAGGAATGATGCCAAACCCATTGCATTCAACAGGCAATAGACTACCATCTACTTTGCACTGTCATTTCAGTTAGTAAGAAAAGCTGTTTAAAGACTACCTCCCTAAGGGTGGTCTAAAGGGCATAAGGCAGGACTGCCCACTGTAAGTTATTATCAGCGTAATGTGCCCGTATGTTTAAACAAACAGGTTTTGGTACAACTGGAGTGGAGAACCAAGCAGTTCGCTACCTTCCCCACGCTGCAGATCTACCCTGGCTGAACCCTAGGGCTTGCAGCAGGTGAATTCATCTGCTGGGCAGTGGTCGTCGTTGGGACTCACTGCCACAACGGCAGCTACTGCTGACAGCTGTGGTTTCCTAAACCTGTTTGCCAGCCTTGAAAGCTCTAGCCAACACATGGAAAAGAGACTACCAGTCACTGGAGAATTATTTTTGCTAGTGACTAAATCTTGTAGCAGATAATAAAGAATCTTCAAATGTGTTGAACTCTAAAGAAAAGCCTAAAAAATGGCCCCAAGCCTGTATTACTTTGTAAATTGTAGCATAAAAGGGCTTGAGAAATTCAAACCGGGACTAGTAAAACAACCCCGACTGAACGGAGAAGCCGGACTGCCTGCTCTACGCCATCACGGCTGCTGGGCACAGTCTTACACAACACTCGTGTGGGGCCAAAGGTAAAGCCACCTGGGCTTGTGTCACCAGGCACAAGTCCTCTTGTCACAACCCCTGTGCTGACACCAACTGCGTATGTTGAGCCATCACGGTATTTTCATAGCTCTCCCTTCATTTCTGAGCATGTGAGCTGGAACCTCCCCGGGGACAGCCGCATTCCCCCCGGCGCTGTCCCCGGCGGCGGCTGCCCGGGGTGCTGCGGCGTTCACGGACCCGAGCAGCACTCGGTACCACCAGGAAGGCCTCGGCGACCAACACGCCGACTCCGCATCACGGAGCGCGGCTGATGCACACGAAATGAGGAACTCCCGGAGGCTCCGCATCCCCCGCCCACCGCAGGTAAGCACGCCGGGCCGGGCCACCCCAGCGCCACGGCCGCTC